CACATCCAAGCAACAACCCCGCACCCCCTTTTTAACATTGATGACAGATCTCTTGGGGCAGTGCAAGATTTATGTCATTGGAACGATTTTGTAAAGTCCCGTGTTCATAGCAATGTTAAGAAGGGGGCGTGGGGTGAAGTTATATAACATTTCTTAAAAGCGGTGCAAGATTTCCTCCATCCACAGTACTACTACTGCTACTACCACTACGACGACGACGACGACGACGACTACTACTACTACTACTACTACTATTACTCCGAAGGGAATCCTCAGAGAAGATTAGCATGGCCCCTGCGCAAGGATGACACATACAAATCGAGAAGTGTACCAAGGGTGACAAAATTACTACTACTACTACTACTGCTACTACTACTACTACTACTACTACTACTGCTACTACTGCGCTACTGCTACTGCTGCTGCAAAAGAGCTACTGCTACTGCTGCCACCACCACTACGACGACGACTACGTCTACAACCACCACCGTCGTAACGACGACGACGACGACGACTACTACTACTTCTTCTTCTTCCTCTTCTTCTGCCATTACGACGACAACGGCGACGACGACAGGAGCTCCTATGAGGGTTAGCAGCAAGTGCACTTTTGCCGCCGTTTATGTAATGGGTTACTAAAAATGTTACAAACTTGAAGTCAGCGTAACTTGGACCACCACGACGACCACTACTACGACAAGCACGACCAGGAGACCACCCATAGACCACCAGGAATTCGGCTACAATGCTTTCCCCCAAGCACAGCCACGTTGTTGACCACACTCCGAATGCGTTCCCCAAGCACTGGCGGGATTCAGGAAGCAGGAGCACGGCGGAAAGTGTTCCCCCAAGTACTGGCAGATCAAGCAAGGAGCACTGCTACTGGCGCTTATGCTTCCCCGGTGGTTGGAGACATTGCAAGAGCCCCGAACCCTTTCCCCTCACATACTGCTGTGATTTGAGATTTTCGACAGCAGAAAGTGGCCATATGTTGTAATTTACAATGAATCCAGCCCGCACGTGCAAGCAAGGACCAAACTTGCACCGAATCCTGTAGCTCATAGGACGCTAAGAGCAATTTAAAACTGCTCCCTGGCGTCTTGCCTATAGCCGATAGGACTTTAGGTATCTCATGGTATCTCTATCTCCGCCACTACGTGCGCGAATGAAAGGCTGCTTACCATTCCGCGGCGTCTGTGAGCAGTCTTTTGGAGTGCAAAGGGCAAAGAGGATGGCCGGGTGAACTTCCGGATCGAATGGCTTTGTATGCTGGCTGCAGTGGTGGAAGACCACTGCGCCAGGCAGACAGTATGGCTTAGCAGCATGAAGGTTGGCAGCTGCGCGACACGCGCCGCCAACCGACAGCGCCAGGCGCCAGGCTGAGGCCACGACGCCCTCCACCTCCTTGCCTCAGCGAGACGCACGCGAAGAAGCGTGCAAGCGGCGAAGTCTGAGACAGATGTGACGAGATTCTTCCACAGCGCTCTGCCTGGGGCCTACAGTAGGGTCTGAACTGGCAGTGTACACTGGGACCTGCATCTCACGGACGGCGTCCAGAGCCTGGTCCGAGATGGTCCAAGAGCAAACGAAAAAGTGGTGAACAAACGTTGGTATGAGCACCAACCCTGAAGGCCACCACCGAGCAATGTTGCAATTTTGCTCGCCGCAGCTTCAGGCGAGCCCTGCTTTGGCAAATTCTCGAATCAAAGTGCCATTAACAACCCCCTCCGGCGGCACTCCGAATCAGCCAATGCCCGTGTCAAGTTGAGCAGGGTCTGCATATACTTGCGTGCGTCCGGGGTGCTTGCTTCGACAGCCGATGTAGCTGATGCCAGCGATTCTGCCAACTTCGTTGTCGTCTCGTTCTGGGTTTCTCTAGCTAGCTTGTCAGCATGTGCCCGCTGCTTGCAAAGGAAGGCCTCGAACTCAGCTTTCCAGCTGGACATGCTGCTACCTGAAGCATCTCCCAGCCTCCGGTGGTCATTCCGGTGCATCTCGGCAAGGCGGTTCATGGTTTCAAGCCTTGCTAGCTTTGCTTCGTCTTCTGCTCTGGCGCGACGCTTCTCTGCGAGAGCTATTCGCTCCATCAACACAGCACGTCGGGAGCTGTGATCCATTCGGCTGATCGGATGCTGCGAAACTCGGGCAGAATGTCCAGCTTGTGTGGCTAAGGACTGTCGATCCAAGGCAGTACCCTTTGTTCCCTGAAGGACAATCTTCTTCAAACGCTCCGTGAGCTCCTCCAAGTTCTGCAGGCAGTGGTCAGTCGACGTTGCTACATCGGCAGCCTCCATCGCTAGTGAGTCGGTATCAGCAGCTAACTGAATTGCTTGCCGATGGAGAGCCTGTAGCGTACACAGGGCCATGGCTCAAACACCGCACAGCTGGCAATGCTGACTAAAAGTATGAGCCAACCTATCAGCCCAAGGGCCGCAAGGGTTCAAAGTTGCCTGCAATGATGCTCTGCTGAAATGCAGCCACATGCCTCCTGCACGAACTGCTTATCGACCATGACACCTGCTGAGTCATGTATCCCGTGTCGATTGCGACTGGTGTGCCCGGCCGTGTCAGCGAAAACTTGTATTCCCTTTGCTCATCTTTGCTCCCAACACAACGTCAGCACGTGCGGGAAGCAGTCCAGCTTTTGAGAAATCTCCTCTTCCTTCTGTTGTGCTGCTGGCTGCACTGCAGTGCACTGCATGACATGCCGGCGTGTCCACTTATCAGCTTTCCCTTCGGAAGCCTCAGAACTGCACATGGGAAGGCAATTGCAAGCGCAGCCACCCCTGCCAAAACGTATGCCAGACTATGCCAGGTATGCAATCAAGGAGCTCAACACCGATGCTGTCGAATTTTTGCTGTAGGCCTTTCGCCTTGGTGCGCAGAAAAAATCTTTTAATCAAGGAACTTTCGAAATCAAGCCCTTGTGATCGCAACTTGTTGGTTGCTGATCGTTACTGCGACTGCATTGAAACCCGTAAAATGATCACAGAACAAAACTTAACAAAAATCGCCTCGGCCTTTCCCTCGCAATCTCCCTACTGGCCCACTCCCCCCGCTCAAAGATTCTGACCGGAAGTGTGCTGGAAATTCAGAGAAACGAATCAACAACACTGCTCCCGTTGGTTGATCAGCTTCACCTGCACNNCCCCCCCCCCCCCCCCCACCATCAAAGATTCTGACAGGAAGTGTGCTGGAAACCCAGAAAAATACATCAACAACGCTGCTCCCCTTCGTTCATGAGCTTCACCTGCGCGGGCCGAGGCAGACGACGCGACACCTTTACAATAAATCAGTGTGCCTTCAAGTCCAATCATGTACAGAAATCACTTGCGGTTCATGAGCAGACCCTCTCCCCATGCCACACTCCCTCTCGGCCCGGGGGCATCAAGGTGTTCTCAAACCCATGGTGTCTGCAAGTCTTGCCGGCTTCATAAGGACCGCGTCGCGTCCCAAACATGCTTCGTCTTCAACCACCTCTCTGATGTGTGGAAATGCCGGCGTTTGTGCGACATACTGTTGTGAGCATGCTTGCGGCATGTCCGCGTTTTTCAAAATAAGAAAAGGCATACTTCGTTCCGCTCGTGAGCTCGGCTAAGCCACAGGCCCGAAGTTTGAAAGCCGAAGCCGCTTCAAGTTGAGCTGGGCTTGATCAGGACATGGTACTTGTTCCTGGTTTTTGCGTTGTGCACGTCGACCTAGACGTTTCTTTAAGTACTACGGCTGAAAGCGGGGCCGCTTAGTCTTTTATCCTACAGATGACCCTCATGGCGCACCTGTCTCAGCACAGCCGTTATTGTCTAAGTTATCGGCACGACACGAGTCTGACAACTGGAAGTGTCATCCCCTAGGATCAGCCGAGCTTATGATGTTTTCGCCTGTTTATGTTCAGCAGAAACACCCGCCTAGCGCCGGCATTTGCAAGCAACTTGCAAACTGGTCCATGCTGCACGCTGTACTTCGCAGCTGAGGCTTCCAGCCAAGTTGAGCAAGTCTTCCTTGACCTTCGTCACAGCAGAAGCATCCATAATCCAGAGGCAAGCCAGTGCATCTTTAGACAGGACTGTGCACCTTCGGAGGCTGCAGCAGTGAAGTCGCTGCCAATTCTCCTAACCTGGGCCAGAGGCGCGACGATAAAGGTTGAACAGACATTGAAAACGAAGGGTGAATTATGCATGAACAACTTGGCATCCGGCTTGACATTGCGCTGCGCTCTGAAGTCCACCCACAGCTCATACTCGGGGGGCGCCTGCGGGTGCGTCTCAAATCGTCACGGCTGGAAGCGTCATCCCGTGCAGCAAACAGTCGAGCTTGGAGTTTCGTTGGCACCTCCGACCCTTGAGCCCACACGGATCTAACCTGGCAGAAGCAACACAGCTGCATGCAATTCGACACGAAGCAACCCCGCGGAAAAGAACGCACTCGCTTCTGTTCTTGGCGCTTTCCCACTCCGTGTCGGTCTCAAGCCTTCGCTTTCGGGAAGCCGGCTGGTATGTTGCTCGCCATACGACAAAACGACCATCCTCTGTGGCATAGGTGGTAATCTCGCACTTCAAGTGGCTTCCTGTGGCCATATCGAAAAGACGCCCTGTGGGAATGTGCTCCTGTGTCACAAGCCACATTTCGCCATCTTCCAGCAACCAATCAGGTGCTTGTTCCAACAGCTCAATCAAAACTCGCAGGTCATCAGCATGACCCTGATGAACCGGCGGGTTGGACACTATCAGATGACAGGGTTGTAGGGGTTTGTCTGCGGTTTGCACACCCTTGAAACCATCAGCCAACACTGTATGGGCATCTGGCAAATTCTTGCTGGCAGCCTGCAGTGCTACCGAATCAGCATCTATCAGCCACAATTCAGTCTTGCCAGGAAGCAGTGATGATAGCCCTGCTGCCAGCACCCCGGTCCCGCTGGCGAAGTCAAGTACTTTGCGTTGCCGCGAGCTGGACCATCCTGGCCGCTCGGAGGACTCAGTGTTCCAAACCTTCTCCATAGTATCCAACAGAAACCTCGACATCACGTCTACAAAGCCACCTGCAAAAAGCCCTGGCATGGACCACCACTTGCGAGCAGTTGTAGCAAGGGTCACTGTGTCTTCTTTGAACCAAGACTCCAGGCAAGCACGAGCCTGCCCATTGGTTCTCTGCAAAAACACGACCCTGGCATCTCCATCCTCTTGTATCTCTAACAGATTGAATAGCCCTTTGATTGCCCTGGTTGTGCTGAGAACTCCTTCCTGCACATCTCCGTAGACCCAGGTTGGAGCCCCCAGAGGCAAAGATGCAGCTACAGCGTGTAAGGCATACTCGAAGGCTTCGTAAGAGTCGGGGTACTTCATTGCCGCGGCATCGAAGACACCAGAAGGAGGCCATGCTTGTGCCTTTTTCATGCCCAAGGCATACCGGTACCACTGCGTCACTTCAAAGCCGCTTCTCTGCAGAGAGCGACGAATGTGGCGCCCAGGTCCAAAAACAAGGGCAGTTTTTCCACTTGCACACTTGAACCTCCCCCACGGTTCGCAGGCTGCAGCAGCAACCAGAGGGGCGTCTTGAAAAACACGGCTTGCTTCTTGGATCTGCTCGACTTCCTCTTCGCATCGATGCGTTAACAGTTGTAGTAACTCAGGAGCAGCTGCGAGCGGCTTGCAGTTGGGTGCCTTCTGCAACGCAGCCCTGATCGCAAATTCCAAGTGTGCTATGGACCACCAAGTTAAGTCAGGCAGCACTGAGTCATCTGATGCTCGAGAAACCAGTCTCCCGAGGAGTCTTTTCCAGCCTCGCGGCTTCAAAGTTGCCAGGGCCCAAGCGCTGATTCCAACTTCTTGCGCACCCATTCGCGGATGAAGCAGCTCTAGGCTTTCCTGAAGACTCTCAGTCAAGCAAGTCAGCTGGCTGCTTTTGTGGAAAGCGAGCTTCGCAAGGGCAGTCAGCAATCGCACGCTGCGGTGTGCACCAAGCTTTGGCACCAGCACTATTGCCCTGGCCGCCAACGACTTCATGAACCTTTTGTTTGGCACCTCACAGGGAAGGGAGCTGTGCTGATGGTCGCGGGTTCACAGAAAACTCAACCACAAAAGGCTGCAAACTAGACGAAATGCCCAGCGAAGCGTGCCGAAGGACCAGAGGAAGGAGACGACAATCTCAGCACCTGCGATGTAGCCTACATGGAGCATCATGGAGGACGACGTATCTGAAGCCTTCTCGGTATTTCGCTTGTCATAGCAGACCTAAACTCAAATACAAGAGTTTGTTTGATACCTGCATGCAGCTCTCGATCGGCTTCCGCAGGGTTGCGCCGACAGTTTCCCGATCGCAAAGCCTAAATCGGTCGTGGCTTGGTTGCAGGCAGCTATGGCGGGGTTGAAAGCTGCGTGGGACCGTATGCATGAGAGATGATTCTGACGATTGCGACGATGATACCAGCTCTGTCGCGAATGTGATGCAAAGCTGCACAAGCCTTTGGGACGACATGAGCATGCATGGGCAAGCTTGTGGGAAATCCCTGCTCGTCAGTGCGATGTTGGACAGCTTCTCAAGCTGCCGCATCTTGCAGTTCTGCGGACATATCCCGGAGCTGCTTATCACAGCAGTCAGCCCGTCGGACACACACGGCAGGACCTCTACTGAGGCCTTTTCGCAAAGCTACTGAAAGGTTTCGGTGCCCACGCTCATTAATAACAGTGCTTCAGGGATAGTAGTAGTAGTAGTAGTA